CCCGAGCACAGCACAGCCCAGGCTGTCCGGGAACAACGACACCACCTTTACTGCACCATACAACCACCCTGGTGGGACCCCAGGGCGGCTGAGCAGGGCCGGGGGGGAGAAGTGCTGGTGGCAAAAGGGGGGCTTTGCAGCTCAGCACCTCATCCCAGCCGAGCCCCGCGCTGGGCGAGGGGCCTGCGAGCGGAGCCTGGCCGAGCATCCGACGGGCGGCGTCCCCTCGGCAGGGATGCTGAGGACCACCTCGGTATCCGGCGTGCACCTGAGGGAGAGAGGAGAGTTAGGAGGGGCGAAAGCAAAGAGGGAGAATAAGCTGCCGAGCTTCGGCTGGTGTGGTGCGAGGAGGAGGAGGAGGAGAAGCTCCTGGGCAGCCAGGGTGGGAGGTGGGTGACTGCAGAGCTCGGAGGCACCCGAGCTGCACAGCAGCCCGGCCATCAGCGGGCACGGGGCGGGTGGAGGGACGCCTGCCTGGCGTCTTGCTGTGCCACCTTCTCTGCAACCCCAGGGTCTGGGACTGGTTTTCAGTGGGGAGGGACTGGATGCTTGTTCTGGGACACAGGACAAAGCAAGCAGCTGGGGGGAGGAGGGGAAAACCCCTTTAAAAGCGGGCGAGGGCTGCTGTGCGCAGCCCCTCTTCAGCATGAACCAGAGCCCAGCGCGACCCCCGGCTCACCCCAGCGCTATTTTGCTTTTCGGCTCACCCTCCACGGTCTGCCCCGGCCACTGACCGCTCTGCCTAGGGAAGATACTGGTTCCAAGCCCGAGCCCCGCTCCACGGCCCGTTCTTAGACCGTGCTTACCACCAAGCCCTCTGCAAAGGCGGCCTCGGTGCTCGCTGGCCTTCCCAGGGAGGCAGAGCCAGACGTAACCCCTGCGGCTCCGAGGAGGAGAAGGCATGAAATTAGCTGCCCCTCACTGTCGATCCCGAAAAAAAGACAGAAGCGGAAAAGGCCCGTCGGAGCAGCCAGGTACATCTGCTTTCCCGCAGAGAGAGGACGAGCACAGCGAGCTGGGCTTGCTCAGAGCTGTGCTCATCCATCTCCGCCTCAGACCAGGACAAACTGTGCATCCAGAGTGGCCTCCGTGCAGGGCCTGAAGCTGCTGGCAAAATCCACACGGCGCCCCTTGATTTTTAATGAGGGGAAACTGAAACGTGGGTGGGAATGGGTATGCAGGGGGTTACAGCTCCTCCGGGCTCCACGCACTGCCGGCAGCGTGCAGGGACCCAGAGAGGGGCAGCAGGAGCCTACGCAGCCTTACACTGCCAGGCTGAGCACAGCTCGTGTCTGATTTTGCTCTTTCGTGAAGCAAACCCAGCGTCTGGAGTGAAAGGGTTAATCAGAAAAAAAACCGAAGGGCTGGTGAAGCCGTGTGAAAAGTTTCAGGGAGGTCAGTGGGAAAGGGCTGAGGGATGGTGGAGAGGCCTCTGGCACCGGCCGCCGCCTGTCAGGGCGGGTAAGCACCAAATGCCTGACTTGTGATGTTACAGAAACTTTCCACTTAGGCCTTCCTGCTATTTTTAACTCTTCTCCCAGCCACCCTCAGTAACCCCGGCCCCACCAGCTGCCAAGGCTAATTAATTCCCTTTTTTTATCGGAAAAATTAAGTTGCACTAATCCATCACGCAGCCGCTCGCCTCCCCCTGCCGTCTCCTGACACATTCCAGGCTTTCCTCCTGCTTCAGCTCATGGACCCGCAGCGCAGCAGCCGTACCTGGCTTCCAGCTAAAACCCAGGCCCTGGAGCGGGAGATCCAGCCCCTCGTCGCATGCACCACTGGTTTGCTGGGTGAGCAGCATCTGTTCATCCCAAGGGATGGCGTTTCCATGCAAAGTACCCCCCCGCCGTGCCTGTGAGGTGCGGGGGGGCTGGCCCAGACCTGCAGCAGCGGGACCCGCTTCAAAGGAATGACTCTGCTAGCAGCCTCGCTGTGCCAAGAACAATTTGTATAGGCAGTCGAGTCCCCATCCCTGGGGGGGATTTAAAAGCCGGGCAGACGCGGTGCTTAGGGACAGGGTTGAGTGGTGGGATGGCAGGGGTAGGGGGATGGTTGGGCATGGTGAGCTTCAAGGGCTTTTCCACCCTCAACAATTCTGTGATTCTATGAAAACAGCTCATCACAGCTGGCTGCTGGCATGCTTCAGCCCACAGACTTGGCCAGTCCGGGTCTGTCCCCGGAGAGGAGATCCCCATATTCCTCTGATGGAGCCAGCAGGGCCTTCTCCCCTTCAGGGCTAAGTGAGGACTCGCCTTACACTTTGTAATTCTTATATCCAGTCTCAGCACCTCACATGCTGGTAAGCAGGGGTGGGGATTAGCCACAGCCTCCACTCGGGAAGTAATTAACTCCCAGTGAACAGGGGCAGGGAAAGGGCGGTGAGAAAGATCCCAAAGTTTTGCCTTTTTGCTGCCAGCCAATGTTGCCAAAGCATTTTTTTACATGTGAGGGAAATGGCTGCCTGGCTTTGTTCTCACAAGGGCGCCGGGGCCATTTCACACAACCAGCAAGGTGGCTCCAGATGGGCACGACCCGCCCTGACAGGGATGCTCCTCGCAAGCCTGCCACCTTCCCTCAGTTTTGCTTCCCAACTATGAAGTGAAAACAACAATAAAGTAAGGTCAGTGCAGACACAAAGGCCTTGAAAAGCTCTGCTGGTCCTGACTGTCCCTGGCTGCAGCTGCTAATAATCCCCGCTTGCAGGCTGCTCAAAGGGAAGCCCAGAAGAGAGATGCGATGCGACTGAAGCGGGCAGCACATCAGTTTAGAGTTGTGCCTAGTTCCTAGCTACTCTTAGGCAAGGCCACGAGACCCTGCAGCCATCTTCCCAAGCAGAACCCAGCGTGACTGGGGGTTTGTACCCTGGGCTGGATGTAGGTTTAACAGTGACGTCTGTGGAAGTGATGGGGTAAGGTTACTAGCACTCAGCACCAAAGACTCTGCAACCCAAGGCCACAGAGAAAGGGCTGTGCCTGCCCACCGACCAGCCTTACTTTGGTCTGCGGAGGAGAACATCAGCAAAGATCAGCTCTCTTGGGTCCCTTGCACTCTGGCGGAGTGTCTGGATGCTTCTCTTCAGCTCACCAACCTCCTCTTCCAGGTCCTTAATAATCTGGATGAACGACATTTCTGAGAGTCCTTTACTTTGCAAGAGAATTACAGTTTTAGAGATTTTGCAAACAGCAGAGCTAGAAAACATCCCTCACACAAGTAAGCCCCTAACAGGCTTCCTGAAATATCTGCTGGACTGCTCGTCCTCAGGATGTCCCAACAGCCCACTGCCTCCAGGGGAAATGGGAGGCAACGCACCCCACTAAGGCAGACAAGATCCTCACAAAGGGGAAGGGCTGAGGTGCCTGGCTCTGCTGCACTGCGCTGGCTCTTCCCCAGCTCGCTCACCTCCCTTTGCCTCAGTATTTCACGTCGCAGAACGTGATTGTTTATCACCATCTGCTTCAGGCCGTCCTGCTGCAGCAACACCTCCTGTGCAGATGAAGAGAAGAAAACCAGCTGAAGGAACTCCACAAGTAACCGCCGGCACGAAGCCCTGCCGCTGCCGGCTGCCAACGCTGGCCGTGTCCGGATGCGTCACTCTTCAAGAAAATGACTTCTGCTTGAACAAGGTTTGGGTTCCAGCTCTAGGAAGAGACTGTTGTTGAGGTCACATTGTGCTGATCATGGAACAAGACTCAAGGAACTCAAGAGATCCAGTCCAGTTTCTCGGGGAAAGCTTAATATTGCTTGGGTAATTTACATCACCTGTGCTTACAAATTCAGCTGTAAAAGGGCACAGCGGTTCTGCATCAGAGCAGGCTGTACACAGGGTCAGTAATTAATATTTCCTTAGTGCTCTCAAGCTGCTAACCCAGGAAAAGTGTGAACCACATTATGCGAGCAGGAACTGTGCAACAGGAGTTCCTCCTATTTTGGGAAGAACGACAGCAGTCCCTGCTCTGAGTGCTGCATATAGTTTAATTTCCTCATGAATTTATTACAAACATATGTGTGCTGCTGCAGCGGTGTCACAGCCAATTAGCAAGGCAGCTACCTAAATAATGTAATAAAACAGGGACCATAAAAGCAGGGTGAATGTTGGGTCACAACGTGCTCACCTCCATGTGGTAAACTCTTGGGAATCAGAAAGGCTGAGAGTATTTCAACACATCAGACTACAGCAGCAACTCAGCAGCTTTGGACATTGGGAAAAATTCCTTCCCCAAAGGGCTGTCAGGCACTGGAAGGGGCTGCCCAGGGAAGGGGTCGAGTCCCCATCCCCGGGAGGATTTAAAAGCCGGGCGGAGGCGGTGCTTAGGGACAGGGTTTAGTGGTGGGATGGCAGGGGTAGGGGAACGGTTGGGCTGGAGGAGCTTAAAGGCCTTTTCCAACCTAAACAATTCTATTTTATTCTAATGATTCTAACTCAGAAGCACTTCTCACGTGCCCTCCCAGTCTGACAAGCAGCCCCAGTGCGGCATCAGGAGGGGAGCAGCGATGCTCTGCTACTCCTTGGGCATTGGCTGCCCCATGCTGCTGCTACAGGCCATGTGTGGCAGCCCCTGCCTGGTCTCCCAGCTCCCAGAAACTGATCACCCTTGCTGGGATGTCATGTGAACCCCACGAACCTCTACAACTTTCTGTAATAGTGCCTCTTGTTCCGCCTGTGCCTTCGCTTCCAATTCCTCCAAGAGGGCCTTCCCCATTTCTTCTGCCTTGTCTATCTCCTCCTGAGAACGGCAGGAAGCAGTGCACAGAAACAACAGGAGCGTTAGGCAAGAAAACCTCCGCGTTCCTTCCTCCCCTGCCCTCTCCTTCCTCCCTGGCAGTGCTTCAGGGAAGGAGAGGTCTCAGCACCTGCTGCTGCTCCTTCAGGTTCTGGATGCTGCGCTGCAGAAGGACTATCTGGACAGCTTCTTCCGGATACTGCCCGTCGATGTAGGGCTGCAGGACGCCGAGCTCATCCTGGAGAACCTGTACCTTTGCTGTGACTTCATCCAGCTGCTGCTGTAGCTCTGATTGAAAGTCAAAACAGAAAATCTCAACCCAGGGGTTTCAGAGCTTCGCTTCTTCACTGAGCTGGGGACCCAGTCCTGCATTTGCCAGAGCCCTTCTCTCTACAGAGGTTGTACACCCTGTGGGAGCGGGACTGGCCGCCCCATGTCAGACCACCCTGACCAGACCCTGCCCCAACGGGATGGTGCAAACAGCCGGTCGGATTCTTCCCACCCCCCTGGGCCCAGGCTTCTGGACGTCACGGGGCTCTCTCCCTTCTGATGGGCTGATGAGGAGATCACCCCCATAGAGCAGACGGGATTCATTTTCAGAAACGGGATTGTCTGACATTTATAAGATCAAAATGCTGTCTTTAACCTAAGAAGGTGGAAAGCAAAGGTAACGGGGTTGTATAAACTGCATTTCATAGTAATGTGGGCAACTCACTTCCCAGATTCTTTTCCATTGTTTTTTCCATCTCCTGGAGCTCTGCCCTTGCTGTATCCAGCCGGTTCCGACTGAAGGTCTGCACCATTGCCCTCACCCTCTGCACAGGGAGAAACCCAGTCACTGCTCATTCCACAGAGCTCTGAAGCGTCCCCCTGCACCATCCCTGACCTTCCTCTCATGCGCTGTTGCTTGCATTAGCAGCAGGGAGGAAGCCGTCGCTGTGGCTGGTGCCAGCTCGTGCACGGGAGCTGCTCTGGGGAGCAGAGTGGGGCTTCAGGGGCCAGCTGGAGCCAGGGACGTCACGGAGGGATAGATTTGGGCCATTATGGGGGTGACTACTGTTGCCTGGGACAGTTACAGCCAGGGTGCTCCCGTGGCTGTAAAATGCAGGCACAAACCAAGAGCACCTCACAGGATCTTTGGGCATCAGAGCTGCCCCCGGGACTGGGGGTGCTCCAGGCACACCCGACGCAGTGGAGGGGGCCAGGCAGTGCCTGACCTTTCCCCAGTCCTAA